CCTAAATCTTAAATAATATTATAATTTTAACTATTATTATTATCGTTATATTATTATTGTTGTTGTTGTTATTGTTGTTGTTGTTATTATTATTATTATTATTATTATTATATTTCAACTACAAACCATTATTTTTAATAATTGCTCAGCCCGTAGGAATGATCCATGGAAGCAATGTTAAATCTTAAAAAGTTATATTTTTCATACTTTAAAAAGATCTGTTTTAAAATACTTGTTTACGAAATAATTATACAAAACTTAGTTTTCAAAATCATAAATATGTTATACTTAAAAAGACTTACTTTTAAACTTTAAGATGGTATAATATATAAAAGGGTGAGTTTATGGCAAAATTGATAGAGGTAAAAGGAATATTAGTGTTTAAGATTTTATATGATATTTAATTTGTAACGTGAAATATATTAATATATAATATGCATATAGAATGTACTACCTCCGTTCCTGAGTATTTGTCTAGTTTTGACTTTTTTCGGCCAACTATTTTTAACCTTTGACCTATAATTAAATAAAATATATATTATATTTTAATGAAGTACAATAATATTTTGAAAATATTTGATATAATAAATATAAGAAAACTCTTTTTGTATCAATATCTAATATCATTTTTATTTAATTGGAGGTCAAAGTTTACCAATTTTGACCGAAAAAAGTCAAAAGTGGACAAATACTCGGGGACGGAGGGAGTATATTTTTGTAAAATAACATCTATGTTTTCCAATATTTGGTTATTTTAATGCCGATTATTTAGTTTTTGCAAAAATCAAAAGTAGTGATATTGAAAAGATGTTTAATATTTCAAAAAAAAGTTTAAATATATCAATGATTAGCTGATTTTCTTATTTTACTTTTTTGTATGTATATATGAATTGTAATACTTTAAAATTATTAAATTTTGTAATAATTTTAAGTTTAATTTAAATCAAATTGAAATTCATTTACACCAAATCTAATTAGTTAAAATCAGATTCTATCAGATTAGGTCGGATTCAATCAGATCAGATCAGATCCAATCAAATCAGATTCAATGATATCAGATCAGATTCAATCAGATCAGACCCAATCAGATCAGATTAGACCCTATTAGATCAGATTAGACCCAATCAGATCAGATTCAATTAGATCAGATCAGAACTTCAAAAATTTAGATCAGATTCAATCAGATCAGGTGTATGGAACAGAGCTCATTGCTTGTTTTGATTTATAATGCTATTAGTAATCTTTGCCAAACTAGTTTGTGGCTATTTGCAGATCCCCATAAAATGCACAAGGCAATCTGTACTGTACCAGTACCGATGCTAGATTGTACCGAAGAGCATTGTGCAAATCAATGCCAATACTATGTTCCTGGTGGTGACTATAAATCAAAATGTGATGTCTCCCGAGATAAGATGCGTTGGTGTCTTTGCACTTACGAATGTTATGCTCCTGATTGAATTTCATTTCAATTTGATATTTGGTGTAATCAAGGATTTAGAACTTGTTATTGTACTCAGTTTTGCCTCATAAATTGTGTCATAGTTTGACATCCAAGGGAGTGATTTAACCTTTAATATCCATGGTTATATTTAATCAATTTATATACATGTATAGGCACATCAGTGTTTGAATGCCTATATATATATATTTAGAAGCTAGTCATAAATGAATTATGAACCTCAAATTTATCTCACACCGTTTTTATTCAAACAGTTTAGTATCGATACAGAATGAATCCCAACACCATTTGCTACCATTGCATTTTGAAATGGAGAATATAATATCATGTCAAGCTCAAACTGTACTAGAAAACTAAATATGTATAACTAGATAATATTGAAGCAGAAGCATAATTTTATATAAAAAACACAACTTTCTTAAAAAAATTAATTATTCCAAATTTAAAAGGATCATAAACATAAAGAATAAAATATAAGGAGTCCAAATTTAAAAAATAAGGAGTCTTTTTTAGTTCATATTATATCATACTATTAATAACCTCAAAAAACAATGCTCATAATAGTAATAAATATAATATTTCAAAAATAATAATAATAAAAGAATATTAAAAAAAGAATAATACAATACAAAATACTCCATATATGATAAGATGAAATAGTTAGTTTTAAACAGTTTGATGCCTGATAATTAATTTTAAATTTTTGTATCATTGTTCCGTCTAATTTGATATTGGTTCGAAATAGAAAAAAATGAATTACGTTTAAAAAATACCATAAACAGATTGATAGCATTAATGTCCAATATTGAACCATATAAGCCCCTTATGGTTTCCAAAGTTTTAAAAAAGGCAAACGAGAACATTCCCAAAGAAGAGACTCTCTCAAAACAAAAAAAAATGTTACTCCGTATTAGGCATCTTCAATTTACTCGTAATAACTTTCGGATCCTATATTATCTGAAATATTCTCTAGAAGATATTCAATTTTTTAGTAAAAATTCTCAGATTTTACATTATCTAAAGTATAATTTAGAGCCTGTTTTTTAGGACTGAAAAAAAAGAGTTGGATGTTGGAAAAATTGGAAAAAACTGGAAGAAACTGAAAAAAACTCGAAGAACTGGAAGAAACTGGAAAAACTGGAAGGAACTGGAAAAACATCAAAAAATTGAAAACCTAAAAAAACTTTAAGAAAATTTATTTTAAATTCTTGTTGTTATAAATTATTATTATTATTATATTTATTATTATTATTATTATTATTATTATTACTCTCTCCGTCCCAAAATATTCACAACATTTTCTTTTTCAGCAGTCGCGAGAACTTTTGTTTATTTCTACATTTTCATTGGTCATTGGATAAAATAAAATATTCTTGACACCTCTTATTTCGAAGAACTTTTCATGTAGTTTTTTGAGATGTAAATTTTATTTTTTATTTCTATATCAATATGTAAATAAAATGAATTTAAAAAAACTTGATATTTTGCCTCGTGAATACAAGTGCTGCAAATATTTAGGGACGGATGGAGTATTATCTTGGGGAAGGTTCCCATGACATTGGTTCCCAATGTCATGGGATGACCCGGGGCGCTCCGGTACCCTGTTCGTAAAATTGACGGTTCCTACCCCTCCTAACCCCCCAGTAAACCCCGACCCAAACACACCCTTCAATTGCACCCCGAAAATTGATTTTGACTTTGGTATATCATTGGTTGTCGTGATACTTTAGTTCTGTAAATCTTTTAGACCAATATTGCAACACTTTGCGTGATTGCATTCACATACTTGCACCTCAAATGGCTAGGAAAAAAAAAGGGAAACAATGAAACCTCAGTTAAAAATTCAAACAAGATGGATTATCTATTTTCTCAATGTGGAATACCAAATTTTCTAAGGCGAGTACTCGGGGATGGAGCTCACATTTTTTTGTGTAGAATTAAAATGGAAAAAGGACTAAAATATGAGTAACATTTTAAAAATATATCAAAAAAAGAAATTTCATATTTTTATTCTTGAAATAAGAATTAAAATGTATTTATTTCATTAATCATGACGGTATATATTATTAAAAAGTTAAGTAAAATATAGCTGTACAGTTGCATTCACAAAAAAATCTAATTTGGGACCGAGTTCATAACATTACTCATTATAAATTTTCCTCTCTATTCTTTATAATGTTTCTTTGTGTACTCATTATAAATATAGCAATCCTCCAAATGGGATGTATTGATCTCTTCAAAAACTTTTATTCCGAATTTCATAATTAATACAGAATTATTATTTTTGGATATACTCTTAAAACTTACATACTCCGTATAAATGAGCCCGTAGGTTTTGGCATTTTGCTTTATAAAAAAAAAGTTTTTGCGCTATTTATCTCTGTTTTTTTAAATGTCTCATGAACTTTTAAAAATGTTACACCAATAGTCGTCTGCGTTAGATTTAGAAGTGCGTTAATCACATGTTCATCCAGTGCAAGTGTGAATTAAATTAAAGTCACATATCACACGTGAGTTCCTCAATGTGCCATTACCAAACATTATTTTCTACGCGTATATTTTTAACCTCTTTAAACTCTAGATAATTATTCACGATTTAATTGGCAACCAAATTCAAAGGCCAGACATCAATCGAAAGAATTCGTCATCAATTGATTAATCTCTTCCTCAGTTCATAATATCTTCATAAAATTCTAGCATGTATATTGATGAGTATTTCATTAAGGCATTCCAAAATTTGACACAGACGAGTCATTGATGTAATATTTTTCAAAATTAAGGAGACGTTGGTGCAAATTTAAAAATTTAAAGTGAATTCACGTAATTTTTGAAAAAAGTTTAGAGATGAATTATACCATAAACTCTTATAAAAACACAACTTTAGACTTAATTTAGATTAAAAGCAAACAACCTCTTAATCAATCTCTCATAGAATTAAATGGGAGAGAGATGTACATATATTATTCTTTGTTCTATTCATTTTATTATACCCAATTATACACATTCTAATTTTCAATTTCAAACTCCAAAGTTTAATTAAAATAGGATAAATATTCAACATAAAGTCTAAAAAGAAAGCATTAATGATTGAACACAAAGAAAAAGTGAGGTACAAATACAATTTCAGAACTACACTCATTTTTTCCCTGCAATTGAAGTTGTCCTTTTTTGGTTAAACTCCACTATTAACTACGGAGTATTAGTCATTCAATTTTAAGAGTTGTGCACGATTGGTCATTGAAGTTTCAAAAGTCCATAAAGAGTCTTTCAACTTTATGTGTTGTGCATAATTGGTCTTTTAAGTTTCAAAAGTTCATAAGTAGTTTTTCAAGTACACGTCAGTCCTCCACATAAGATCCTTTTAACGGTAAACGTTAAAACCTAAATGAAGTACTAGCTCCATATAATACGGAGTAGTTGTACCTAGGATCAACTAGGTACAAATCATATGAAGTTCAAATCATGCAAAACTCATAAAGTTGAAGGATGAACTATATATTTTAGCCTATTTTTTTCCTAAATCAAAACTACTGCGTTTATGCTATGAAACTTGTATAAGCTGACCTATTCAAACAACCAACAAGTCGGCTTCTTCTCCGTCTCTCTTCGAAGGAGGCACCGACGAACGGTGGCTGGGCCGCGACTGACGGCGGTCGGCGGTCTTGCTCCTCCACGAAGATCGGTCCAACCGAATCCAACACTCGAGCTAGATCCAGGTTTGTTAATTTATGAATTGCAGATTTTTATCGCATTTTTTAAAATTATGGATGTCCGCTTTGTGCATTTTGATCTGTTTAGTAAGTGGAATTGTTTTTGTGGAAATTTGTTTTAGTTATTTTATCATTTAATTGATACGCTACTATTTATTTTATTCTTCATTTTCCATATATTTCTCAATTTGCTTCATTTTACTTTGTTGATCAGTTTTTTTTGTTTCATACCAAAGTTTCTCTTTTCTATTCACGGATTAGAACATTCGGTATAATGAAGAAGCACTCAGGCATAAGAATTAGAAGCCTAATTTCACATAGATTGTAAGGCTTTTCAATTGAATCATCTCAAAACAATTGCTCGAAAATAGATTCTTCTAACTGTCATCTGATCGGTTTGATTATAAGTGTGGAGTGCATAGAAAAAACTTGATTTGAATGCACGCATTTCACTGGTCATTATCTATTAGTCATTATTCAACTAAATGTCCAACATCACTTGGATATTATTTTACTCATTAGTCATTATTAAGTCCTATTTAGAGAGTAAAATAGTTTAAATCCTAAATTGGAAATGACTTATGTTCTAGTCCTATTCAGTCCAAAATCTAAATTTCACTAGTTTCTAAATATAGGCATTCAAACTCTGTTGTCCATCCCCTACAAGTCTCCCCCCAAAAAAGCTGAAAAATTGGAAAGAAGAGCCCGGCGGGGTCCCGGGAGCACATCTTCGATCTCTCCAAGCTGTGAACAAACAATAAAACCTTCCCATCTGTTGTCTGCTCAATCTATAGATCTCTGAAGTCTCATCTTTTTAAGGTACATTCATTTCTTCGGCTGTCTGTTGCTTTCCCTCTCCTCGATTTTTCAGGGTTTTTGTCTGATTCCGATCTGGGGTTTTGATTTCCAATTGCGTGTGGTTAAGGTTCTTCTCGTTTCAGCTCCCCGGTTGCAAAATCTCGGATTTGTTTAGACTCCGAATTTGTAGGTTCCTAAAATGTTGCAAATAATGTTTGGCTTGAAAGATTTGTTCTTTGATTGATAATCGCGTTGGAAAATGTGGGTCTTTTGAAATCTGTAGAGTTTAGTTCGGGTTCATCCTCTAAATCAACTGATCCCCATTGTGATTTGAGAAGAATCCTATTATTTATCCTCTAGACATTGAATGTGCTTGTATCTTAGTGCGTGCGGTGGTTTTCATGTTGAAATTTGGGGAATGTGATTGGCTTATAGATGTTAACCGTGCAAACACTTGTTCAACAATGTTGAGAGGAATTCAACCTATTTAAACTGGATAAGCTGGCTGGCAGTTGAAGGATTATATATGTTGCATTTGAGTAGTTGGAGAGTAGATCAGATAAGTATTATCTTTTCTTTCCGATCAACTCATTGCCAATGAGTTGACGGGAAAGAAAAGATAACACTTATCTGATCTTGCACTCTTATTGGTGAAGGTTTTTTTTTCAAATACAAATATGCAATGAGTATATTGGTATGTTCAGGATTCAAAGTTCTAGAGATTTCTAATGTGTTTGTGTGCCGTATAACCAATTTTACCCTGTACAATCTCCCTTTGAAAAACCATTTATACATGCATGACATGCTGCTGATGCTACATTACACAATCGCCATTTGGCTTACGGTCATGCATCCCTTTCAAGATCAAAAGCGATTAGTGTGTAATAATTTTTGAAGTAATATTCATTTTCTTAGAGTTTATTAAATTTCTTGCTGACTGACGAGCCTTTGTTGGACTTTTCACGTGTAGTATTCACATTTTGTAGTATTCAAATAGTATCAAGTTCATCATGAATTCAGACTCAGAATTGCTTGTTGCTGAAAAAGGAGAGCACATCTTTAATGCTAGTGAGCGGATAAATTGCCTCAATAATATGGCCAAAGGTAAAATAGTGGGTTACTTGTGCAGGCACAATACAGGGTTCATTTGGTAACACATCATGTTCTCTGTTTTCAAGACTGTTCTTTTTATTTTGTTATCAGAATATAAAACATGCTTGGTAGATCTATTAGGGATATATTTTCTGTTTTATTTGTTATGGTTTTTTAATTTTTATATAAGTTTTAATTGTTCATGCTTGGTAGATCTGCCAAGGATATGTTGTCTGTTTTATTTATTTTGAAAAATCAATATTTTCGTAGAAGTTCTAAATGTTGGTAGATCTATAATAGATATAGTCTTTTTTATTCATTATGAAAATTCATTATTTTTGTAGAAGTTCTAAATGATTCATAAACAGTATCAAAACAAAATGCAGTGAGATTAAGAAACTTTATTTCCAACCATTTTTAAAACTCTGGATTTTCTTGTCGGATCAAAACAAAAACATTATAGTCAAACAAACTTTTTTGTTTTTGTTTTCAGAAAATTTAAATGAAAAACAGAGAAGTGTTAGCATACGATACCTCGATTTTCTTGGGTACTCTCCCCTCCACACACACGGATTTATTTTGCAATGGAGTGACAGCTATAAGCTAACTTGATGATCACTTGCCTTTTCTGTTCAAATCTCGTGGAACTATCTGGAATATATTCTCCTTATTCATTTGTATTTCTTTTGACTTAGAACTATCTGCATCAAATAATCACATTGGGAGTAATATTCCTGATGTGGTCAACTTGAAGGTTGGAAGTGCAGACATAATTTCAGAGCTGATGAAACTGAACAGTTTGGAGGTATATTGGGATTTGTTATAAATATTCGGAAGCAAAGTTGATGTGTTGTAGAACTCTTGCTCTTGGTCACCTTCGGGGTTTCCCTGCTTAAGCATCCACTTAGATTCCACCTAACACTGAATTAATCCATGACTAGGCTCTAGACCCCATGTAGCTATTTTTCAACATTCATGGAAGGCTCTTTATTTTCTTTTTTATGATTTCTGATATCAATTTCTGTATTCAATGGTATGTCATTTGTCTTTACCTGTTTTAATGTTCAGAGTTCATCCACCCGATCATTGTTTACTGCTGTGAATAATATTCTAGATGAAAATATTGAGAGAAAGAATGGGGATATACCTCAGGTATGGTCAATCACATTAGTTTCTTTCTTTATTATTATTATTTTTAATTTTGTGAGGTAGGGGCAGTTTTTCGAAGTTAACTTTATCATCATTTTGTTTCCCTTTGATGTTTAGTCTGTTTTAGCTCTGCTAAAGCTGGTTCTGCGAGAAATTGAATCACGTGTTTCGAAACAATCGGAGATTTTGAGAAAGGTATGTGGGACTTGCGTAATTTTTCTATAGTCTTGGTATACAAAATATATGTACTAATCTATTTATTATTGATCTGACTGAAACTCTCCCATATACAGCAAAATAACCTCTACAAGTCTCGTGAATTAAAATATCAATTAAAAGATAGGGCATTGGAAACCCTTATAGCAGGAACTGCAGAGGAACATGAGGTATTATTAATCATGAACATGAATGGTTCTTATCAGTGTTTCCATTCTCTGCACTCCTCGTCCTTTCATTTCATCTTCCTGGGTGTTTCAACTATCCCCCAAACAGTTAAAGTAGCATATCTTACATAGTTACATTTTAGAGAAATTATGTTTACCCACGATATATTTTATGAAAGTGTCACTCTCTAACTCCCGTAGATCTAAGCTTCCAGTATGTAACATTAGAAATATGTTAAAGTGTGTTGATATGCTACGTACAAAGTAAGATATAATTTGAATTATAGTAATAAAATTAGAATTTATTACATATCAAAGATGTTTCTCATGTCTGACAACTGTTATTGCAAATGTTTTGTTTGCACATGTTCTATGTTGACTTTACTATGCAGCCCTATGCTTGTTTTGTGATAAATGATTTAAATCATCAATATGCTCAATTGCTCATTCTTCTATGCTTTTTTAGCTGCAACCTAAAGGATTGTTTAACAAGTATAAATATGCTTTTGCATAGGCTTTATGGGCTTCTATTGATACTCAGTTCATTTGTTATTACAGATTGAGAAGGCTAACTTTGAAGCAAAGGAAAAACTTAGCAAGGACAAAATTTCTGCATTGCAGAAAGAGAAGGATTTTTATGAGATGAAAATTTGTTCATTGAATCATGATTTGGAGCTAAACAAAAAGACATATGAAGAGAAATGTATGCAGTTAGAAACACAGACAAATAAAACTAGACTCGAGTTAGGGAAGAAGATTATGGAACTTGAGTGCCTTCTGAGCAACTCAAGGAAAAAGGTCGAAGAACTTGAAGCTTTTTCAGAATCGAAGTTTCTGAAATGGAAAACAAAAGAACATGGCTATAAACACTTCATAGAATCCCAGTTTGGATCATTACAGGTTTCCATTGATCTTTTATCAACTCCTTTATTCATTACTAAATAACTATCGTGCTTACGACACACATAAGTTTCTTCTTCTTCTTTCAGGCATTGAAAATGGCATCTGAGTCCTTAAAGCAGGAAGTTTTGCAGACCAAGGAAATCTATGCTGAAGAGCTAATCCGCTTTGGTTAGAGTGTCGACAAACTTATACTTTGTATATCATTAGTAATTTGTGGATGTTTGGAGTCTTCTTTCCCAGACCTGAATAATGACATAAACATATTATTTTATTAGGACTAGATCTTAATGGGCTAATAGAAGCTGCTCAGAATTACCATACCGTACTTGACGAGAATAGAAGACTGTACAATGAGGTTCAAGACTTGAAAGGTTAATCCCATGAAACACACAGGCACACACTCACTCACATAGTTTGTATACAAATTAGATTTCAGCTCACTTTATTTCCTTTGTGAATTTAGGAAACATAAGAGTGTATTGTCGAATAAGGCCATTCCTGCCAGACCAAAGCCAAAGGAAAACAACTATGGATTACATCGGTGATAATGGAGAACTGGTTGTTGTGAATCCTTTGAAACAAGGAAAAGATAGCCACCGCATGTTCAAATTCAACAAAGTCTTTGCTCCTACTGCCACTCAAGGTTTCTGATATTTTACTTTAGTTGTGTAAATCTTTTAGACCAATATTTCAACACTTTGCGTGATTGCATTCACATACTTGCACCTCAAAGGGCTAGAAAAAATAGGGAAACAATGAAACCTCAGTTTCTGAGTTATTTTCATTTCGATTCATTTGGATTGCAGAGGATGTGTTTCGGGACACCCAACCGTTAATCCGATCTGTTCTTGATGGGTACAATGTCTGCATATTTGCATACGGGCAGACTGGTTCTGGTAAAACATATACTATGGTATGCTATTTTTGAAATAATATTTAACTAATAGTTGGTGTCTGTTTTCACATTACCGACCTCACTCTGTTTTTGTGTTTCATTAGAGCGGACCCAGCATTTCATCAATGGAGCACTGGGGTGTGAACTACCGAGCTTTGAATGATCTATTCCTCATTTCTCAAAGTAGGAAAAGCTCGATAGCATATGAAGTTGGTGTTCAAATGGTTGAAATATATAATGAACAAGTCCGTGACTTACTAAGCACCGAAAGCACTCAGAAAAGATATCCTCATTTTGTCATTATGCCTAAGATTTGTATTCTCTAGACTTGCTAATAGTCACATATGCATGTTCACACCCAACCCCATTTTTCAGTCCATGGATTTGGTGTGTTGGCTCACTTGAGCACATCAACTTCCAATCAAACCTATGTGGCGGCTTTTTATTTTTAATTTTCGCCCCATTGTCATATTTTTGTCATGCCTTGAACATACTCCTCTCGTTTATGTTAGAAATTGGAGAGGCACTAGCAAATTGAGGCATGAGAAGAATGAGACGTGAATGCAATAACAAAGGCTCAATAGGTTTAAGTTTGTGCTTTACGCGCTAAGTCCAGTTTGAAGTTGATGGGCTTAGTGGGGCCAACAGCCCTAGTTTATGGCATAAAAAGGGGAGTTGGGCCATTTTTCACTCGTATAAATGCATAATTACATAATTATGGATGCTTCCTTTAACTTGCACACGCTCGGGATTTGGAATACTACCCAACCAAATGGGTTAGCTGTCCCTGATGCTAGCATGCACCCTGTTAATTCAACGGAAGATGTTTTAGAATTGATGAAAATTGGTTTAGCAAACAGAGCTGTTGGTGCTACTGCCCTCAACGAAAGAAGCAGTAGGTCCCACAGGTACCTTTCTAATGTTCATTCTAGCATGTATTCTACTTGGAACTTTTATTCTGTGGTATGATGTTAATCTGATGCACATTGTGCAGTGTACTTACCGTTCATGTACGTGGGACCGACTTGGAGACCGATTCGGTTTTACGTGGCTGTCTACATTTGGTAGATCTTGCAGGCAGTGAACGAATTGACCGCTCCGAGGCCACAGGGGATAGATTACGTGAAGCGCAACATATAAACAAATCTTTATCTGCATTGGGGGATGTGATCTTTGCTTTAGCACACAAAAGCTCTCATGTACCATACAGAAACAGTAAACTCACTCAAGTTCTTCAAAGCTCCTTAGGTATTCATTTATGATAACTGTACTAATTTACAGCAACTGAACCAGTAAAATCTCATAAACAGTATGCTCTAGGGAGATGTATTTTTTTCGATGCAAACCTTACCCCTACTCTGAAGTAGAGAGACTGTTTTCAAGAGATACAATGCTAATTTGCTGATACAAAATGTATTTTTTCGAGCATTTATTTCTGAGGTTTTTGAAAA